TCCTTAACACGGGCACACATTGTACATAAGGAGGAGACGGAGGTTTTGGATCAGTGAAGGTACAACGGCAGCAGTAAAAGAACTGTGGAAACAGAGGGAATCGAACCACAACCTCCTGGGTCATGGCTTCATCATCAGTCCCACAGACAGGATGGATTTTCATTGTTCTCTCTCCATCACGTGGAGGTTTGCCAACCTTCAGGGCTGTAGAAGAAGAAACGCCGAGGTGACGCTCAAACCCAGGAGAAGATTCCCGGTCATCTCGACCGCACGCGGCGTTCCCTGTCAAGACGTACGCGACACGCGTCCTTGAGAGAAACCTCAGAGCTCACGCTTCTTCTCAGCTTCATCGACACCAACAAACGACTGTGCCACGAAGGGCGAATCCCCGCCGACACCCTTCACCGATTTCATGGATGTTCTGGCATCGAGCGGTGCCAAAAAGAAAACTCCTGTAAATGTAAGAAGAGGAAATGTACGGCAGTTAGACCTGGATATATATTTATATTTAGAAGCAGATGAGATAACTGCATACACGTATGTTTTCTATGTTTTGTAAACAGCACATCATTCGTTCACATTTGATGTTGAAGTGAATTTCTACACATTTTGCGCTTTATGAAACAAACAAACAGATAATGATAATTGTGGGTCCTTTTCACTCGTACGTCTTGTTTGCACTGCAGCTTTTCTGACGGACTTTTACACTCGAAGGTTTATACCCCCTGACCGCCCCCCCCCCCACTGACCCCACCCTGACCTTAGCGACCCCTCTGTCTAGTTTCTCTCGATCTTTAACGAAGAGAATGAAGGAACGTCATGAATGAGTTGAACTTCAGAGGAACCTTCAGTGTCACAGCTCCACGCTCCGATCGGATCGATATCGTACCGTGTGCTCACGGTGAGATCAGGACGCGCTTGAACCTGCGCTGTTTTAACCCACTGTCCTTTTCTGTTACTGCACATCAGGCAACGAAAAACTTTTCCCGGTGTTTGAAGAAACGAAAGAGAGAAACAATTGTCGTGAATTCTTCTCACACCTTTCCCACTGTCCAGATAATCCGGTATCTTTGTCCGATCACAACTTCCGTGATTCATCGATAACTAAATAACTTCACTGTCTTCTCCAACATTTCCTGTCGACTCTGCCGTGCTTTTATAGAAACGTGCAGCGTCAACGTACAGTAGCGCTAACCTGCTCTACGTGCTAATGAAGATCTTCTGACCTAATATTGACACCAAACAGCCAAAGACACGCACCGTGTCTGAGTCGACGAAACCAGGGAACTTTGTTTGTTCCCTGGCGATGTAACGTATAAAATGTAACGTTTAGAGAGAAGTAACGGATTAAACTAATCCCCGACACAGAGACTTAAACGTGATCCTGACAGAAGAGTTAAATCACAGTTTAGTTAAGCGCCACCTGCTGTTAATTATAAACCGTCAGTGAACTCCTGACGTCCCGTCTGTGACTGACATTTCCCCAGTATTTACGGACCCATAGGTGCCCCACTAACTGCCTGTGTATTTAGCATGTCTGTGGTTCTCACAGTTGGTCGATTCTTCTACGACACTTTCTTATTGGAGTGAAAATAGGTGTCACCCTGAAGTGCCTCTCACCCAGTTGTTTCACTGAAACGTTTCCTCTCGTTGTCTTTTGGCGCTCGTTCGCATTTGTTTCTACCGTGTTTTCCGCTGCAATCATTTCAGATTCAAGTGAACTGGCTCCATCTTGTGGCTGTATGAGCACATAACGCCAATCCGCAGTTACTCCCCCCCCCCCACTTGGTGTGAGCGTTGATCAGTCATTTCACTAGTTTTGGTCAAAAGAGAAAGAAAAGAGAGACATTTTTACGATCTTATTTATAATTACTCCGTAGAAATGTTCATCGTCATGTCCTACACTTCTGCCAATAACCAAAAAAGACTGAAACTCCCACTCCCATCTCATAATAACCGGCTCTTATTCCGCACTTCCTGTTTATTTTATTTTATTTTTTTAATCAATTCCGTTTCCTGAACGTTTCTCCTTCGCTCTCTCCTCTTCCCGTGTAATCATTTAGACCCTTTAATCTCGTAATCCAGAGCTTTAATCCTCGTCGTATTTCGGGTCATTTCGGATCGGGCTGTTGCCGAATCGTCAGTATTATTACATGTTTGTGTTGTTTCGTGTCTGTCCGTGTGTTTGGCCATTGACTGGCTGTGGTGGAGTGTCACGACAGTGGGCAGAAGAATGACATTAGGAGCTTGTTAATGCACTTTTTGATGGACATTTCCACAGGAGGCGCCATTTTGGGGGCTTTATCAGAGCGGGTGCAGCGAAGCGTGAGGAGGTTTTTTGTTTTGTTTTGTTTTTTAATTCGGATGAAATGACGTCACTCAGCCTCCACCTGCATGCTTGACTACAGCTGTGACGTGTTGACACCCATCTGACCACGTGACCTGACCTGCCTGTGACACGTTGCTTGCACCCCTCCGCCCTTCTTTCCCGGGCTGTACATTTGTGTGACGTCAGTATTTTTTATGGCGTGTCCTCCAGTCACAGATGAACTGTTGGAGAAGGAAGAGGATTTTGTTCACCATTCTTGATGTTTGAGTTATGATTTAAAAAATTAAAAAATAAATTCAGTCGTTGAGGAATGTTCCGTTGTTTCTGTATATTGTACCTCTATTTATTTGCCTTGTTTAGTTTGCTATATTTTGTATGTACACGCAGCATTACAACAAATGTTACATAATAAATATGAATAATTCAGCTGTGGTCCATGTATGATGGATAGTTTGGAGACTTGTACAAGAATGAGAACCTTTTTTTCATTTCTATAATTTTATTTTTTGTATTTTTCTCACCCTGTGTCTTTTGTAGGGTTACAATAAAGTTTTGTCCCTTACACTTGACCTCTGATTTTTATTTTTATTTTTTGGTCTTCACAAGTCCAACCCTGCCGTCACAGAGATGCTGGATGTGTACAACCAATCCGTAGTTTTGGTGAGTAAAATGCATTTTGTTTTACGAATAGTATTGTAGTTGTTTTATGGTTTGATTGATGTTCATTGCATCTTAGGAATAAAGGTCACATTTTCAAATGACAGTGACCATGTGAATGTAATGTATGTGGTTAATGTATTAACATCTTTGACCAAGAGGGGGCAGTCACTCAACGCAGTTCGCGTTTCGAAAATGATATCTTGTCATGTTTTTCATCAAACTACAGCATTTTGAGAATTTTTTTTATGATTTTTTTGCAATTTTTCGGCAAATTCATAATTAAGCATGTCATTTTTCAGGTGATGGTCAGGTGATGGTCAGGTGATGATCACTTATGATTAGGGATGTCCAACATTCACTTTTTGCCGATATCCAATATGGATATGCATATTATGATGAAATGTTTTTTATTTTACCTTGTCTGCATGTTTCTCATCGAAATATATCATTTTGAAAAACATTTTTGAAAAAAAAGTTTTCAAATTTTTTAGCTAGGTTTTATGTCATTTTTGATCAAATGCTGAACAATTAGGGCATTTGGAGAACATTTGACAACAAAACATTTTTGAGAACACAGACATTTGTTTTGACAAAATCTTATGCCAAAATGTGAATTTTTCGTGTCATTTTTGGTCAAAAACTAAAAAAATGGACAACATTTTTTGTAAAATTATTTTTCAAAATTGAATCTTTTCTTGCATGTTTTTCATAAAATTGGGGCTTTTAGATAATATTTTTAGAATTTTTTCTTTACAACATTTTTTGTCAAAATTTTGGTCAAAAACTGAAATAAATTGACGAAAATCTTTGTAAAATTCCATCCATCCATCCATCTTCAACCGCTTATCCGGGGCCGGGTCGCGGGGGCAACATCTGAGCAGGGACGCCCAGACTTCCCTCTCCCCCGACGCTTTCTCCAGCGCTTCTGGGGGTAATAGTCGTAGTCGCTCCAGTGTGTCCTAGGTCTTCCCCTAGGTCTCTTCCCAGAGGGACGGCACCCGAGCACCTCCCGAGGGAGGCGTCCGGGGGCCATGCGATGTAAATGCCCAAGCCACCTCAGCTGACTCCTCTCGATGTGGAGGCGCAGCGGCTCTACTTCGAGCTCCTCTCTTGTGACAGAGCTCCTCACCCTATCACTCCCTTAGC